AATAATAATAATAAACAGACAGACAGACACGAATATACAGAATAAAAAAAAAAAATAATAAATCGAGTTGAAAAGGAATCAAATATACGTACTGTTGTAAAAAAATGTTTGCTCCTAGTAAATGTATGTAACGCTCGGTTTGGGCCTCTTTGAATCCTGTCAAAAAGACACAATAAAAAATATAAATTTTTTTTTTTTAAAACGGCAGCGCCATACGAAATGATAATGATAATAATAATAATTATGTTGAATCCTTTTCTCTCGATTTAAATTTTTTTTTTTTTTTTTACGTTTAATTTTTGTATTAGTACACGCAAAAAAAGAAAAACAACAACGTGTTACACGTGTTTTGTGTGAGTGATATAAAAAAGAAGAAGAAAAAATTTATAGTCATACAAACCTCATACGTCAATTTCTTGACCGACGTCATGAAATTTAAGGGGAGGAACATATTCAGAATTCCTTTGAGAATCGCTTACCAGATTTCTCGTATTCCGAACGTTTCTCGCCCTTTCATCGGCGATAGCAGCCGCATGTGCTAATTCAGTATAATCAATTTTATTTTTGTTAACGTAAGCATCACTACTTAGGGGTGAAATATCGTCACTTCCGAGAGGTGTAGTAGTAGCAGGATCACTTTCACCGTTTCCGTAACCGGTGGGTAATCGAGATAATTCACTATTTGGCGTTATATCACTACCAAGTGGAGCGTAATGAGGAAGAAGCATCGGATCGCTTGCCATGGGCGTGTAAAACGATTGTATGGGAAGTGTCGTGGGAGTGATAAAAGTTCGAGGATCGTTTAAACCTCTTCCACTTCTTTCTAACGAGTTCGTTTGATGACGTCGATTTTCGATTTTCGATGCTCCGTTTATCGGTATCGGACGACATATTTCGTGGTCACCCGGTATCGTTATGTAAGAGGATTTCGAACAATCTCTCAATAAACTTTCTTCACCGGATGATATATTTTTAAAATGTCGGCTGTCCGATATCGGCATTTCGGTATCGCCCGATGACGAATCCGTCGTCGTCGCCGTCACGTTGATTCTCCTTTCTCCGGACGAATCGCTGTTGGATTGCCTGTTGTAATTTTCACCGCCTGCTGTGAGTAATTCTTTAAATCTCATCACTTGGAGAGGTGTCGAGTCTTTTAAACGTTCTTTCGCTTTCTCTTTATAATTAATATCTTTATTGTTTTTAACATCAGACTTTATTCTTTTGTTACATTCATCACTATCGTTATTTTCTTTGTTACAATTTATTTGTTTATTAACGTCACGTAAAGAATTAAAAAATAATTGATTTTGTCTCAACGACCCGTTCACATTGTAACCCGGCGGATAATTTGAATTATTTTTTTTAGAGTTTCTCATTGAATTCGTTTCATATTTATTACGTTTTCCAGAATGACGTAATCTACTCTGGTTTTGAAGGAGATTATACGTGGCTTGATGATGAGAATTTTTTTTGTTGTTGAGCGGTAGGAGATGCTGTTGCGATGATGTTAGTTTGTAATGTCGAGCTTCTAACGGTCTCTGCAAAAGCAATAACACACGTGCAATTGTTTTAGTTAATTATTATTATTATTATTATTAGTGCCTTGAGAAATGCGGTTAGTGGGTGTTGGGAGTGGCATTTGTTTGCTAACAGTCTAACGGTTAAAAAGTTAGTTTTATTAATTAATTAATTAATTAATTAGTAGAAATTTTAAAAATTTTGTTGTTTATGTATCGAATAAATCGATATTTATTAGTTTGTTGTTGTTGTTAAAGAAAAGAAAAAGTTTCGGTAAAGGAAGGAAAATAATCGAGTTAGTAAGGTTAACGAAGTGGTTATTATTTCAAAAGATCAAAAGCATTTTTGCGTTGTGTTGCCTTTAAGGATTTCCGGTTTTAATAAATGTCCTGGAAGAATTTTTTGATCCTTTTCCCATCAAAAAAAAAAAAAAAAAAAAACTCACCTCGTCGTTAGGCGGCGAATCTTGTGAATTATTTGGCGATATGGGAATGGGAACATTTTGATACGTATGCTTAACATTAAACGAATCTTTCGGAGTACCGGAAAAAATTGTTTTTCTAGGTGCCGGAACGGGTGCTGGAGAATCGGAAAGTCTTTCGATTCCAGAAATTAAACTTTCATTATCATCATTATTATTATTAAAAAAATTATCGGATTTATTAAAAAATTTTTTTTCATCGTTCGTCGTTTTACTCTTAAATTTACCGTTGAAAAATTTCGGTTTATATTTTCTGTCCGGTATTTTGGGAGTCGTCGTCGTCGTCGTTTCATCGTTTTTTTCCCCCGAATTCATTTTATTATTATCATTATTATTATCATCATCATCATCATCATCGTTAGAATTCGAAACGGCGAGGAGATCGGTTTTAGAATTTTGAAATTTTTCCGGGGGTGTAACTTTTTCATCGAAATTTTTCAACGGCGCTACTACATTCGATTCCGTTTTATTAACGGGTTCTTTATTGACGTCATCATTGTGACGAAATCTTTTATAAACTCTCAAAGAATTAAATGTCAATTCGGGTTTTTCATTCGTCGTCGTGGAAGAATCTCTAAACGTATTCGATTTAATAATTTTTCTTCTTCCCTCGTATTGTTTATCGTTAAGTGATGACGTCAAATCACGATCAGGTACGGAAATTTTCGATTTTTCATTTTCTAAATTTTTTTTAAATTTTAACTCAAATGAAAATTCGTTCTATAAAAAAAAAAATAAACAAAACAAAAAAAAACATGCAAAAATAAAATTAATAAAAATAAATTAATGAAAAAAAAAAAAAAACAAAACGAATAAAAATTAAATTTTTAAATAAAAAAAAATAAAAACAATTTTTAAAAGATGAGTTAGTGCCACGACAACTTACTTTCGTCGGAGGATTTTGCATTCCGTGAAAAGGTAAATTTTCATAAAAAGCTCTGTCGTCTAAACCATCGCAATGAGATCCTGTAGGATCAAGGCCTAATTTTTCAGCGGAAGTCACTTTCTTTTCACCTGTGCGAACAAAATAAAAAAATTTTTTTATCAACGTCTTCAATTTGATAAGGTCGAATTGTAGCGGTGGTGGTTGTAGTGGGGGGAGGAGTTTGTAGTTTCGTTCGATAAATCATTCGTAAAACATGAAAACAAACAACAATTACGTACCATCTCCTGGTTTTTTTCTTTTTCTCGATGCTATCACACCATTTCCTTTTAAGTCTTCTGCTCTTTTGAATGTAACAACTACAGAAATTACACAGAGAGAAATTGTTGAAATTCATCATGCAACATTTAAAAAATCATCGTATTTATTTTCATTAAAATGCAAAAATAATTATAATATTGATTATTATCATTGTTATTAATAAATATCTCATAGGATATGTTTGTTGTTTGTTAATTATTGTTGTTGTTACCTCCAGACTTGCCGTGATAAAACCCATTCGGCAAAGAATCCGTTTTTTCTTGCGAAAACATTTTTTTTATACGTAGCACGCGAGTTTTTTGATTCGTATCATCGGGTAAAGTAACCGAGCCAAGACTAATTGTTGTCCTCCTTCTTCTTCCTTTTTGTAAATTCCATATTTTTTTATCACACCGGGATTTATTAGAACCGGACGTGACGTTTGTCAAACCGGAAGGATTTGATGTTTTTTGTAGATTCGTCAAACTCGTAGCCAATCCTTGATTAAATCGAGCTCCGTTTGCGTGTACCAAAACTCCGGGTTTGAGTGGCCATTTAGGAGTCACGTTACTGTTAGTCAATATCGTCTGCTGCTGAACAATGACCGGAGAAGTTGGATTTTCATTTGGACTATTTATATATACAAAAAAGGAATCAAAATATTTTTGAAACGAAACAAACAAAAAAAAAGGAAAGAAAAATGGAGGAATTCAACATGCAATTTCCTGTTTGATGTGAAAATGAGAAAAGTCTTCTCGTGTTCATTTAGAAAAATTCTTTTTTTTTTTGTTGGATTCGTACAAGTGTGTTTCCAAGAAGAATAACAATCCACAGAAACATCCGATAATCCGTTTGTTTTATATTTTATGTTGTTAAAAAAAAAAAGAAACAAAGAATTAAACCTCTAACTTAAAGAAGAATGAAATAAAATTCTTGTGTTAGTTCCACAGCATATACCCCTCAACCACATAGTAATAATAATAATAATTAAAATCCTTTTAAATTACCCGAAACGTAGCAATAATAATAACAACAACAATAACAATAACAACAACAGAGAGGAAAAACTTACTTTTCTCTTTCTTCCGGTTCTACAGTTTTAGAATCTATAAAAATGAAAGCACAAAACAACATATCAATTAATAAAAAACAATCCGCAACAAAAATGCAATTTCAAAAAACAAAAAAACATAACAAGCAAATAAATTTTATAAACAAAACAAAAAACCGGAAACAACAACAATCAGCGCTTAAAACAACACGATAACATTTTATAAAAACAAAAATTTAAATTTTTTTGTTTTTTTTCGCTTCATATTAAAAAAAAAACAAAATTAAAATTTTATTATAACTTTAAAATATAAAAAAACTATTATTATTATTATTTTATGTTATTATAGCGCTGATTTAAATTTAAAAAAAAAAAAAATCAAGTTCGTGAAATGAAAATCGATCGATCGAAACATAAAAGCATAAACATAAAACATGCGAAATGTGAATTTTTCATTATAAAAAAACGTTACATTAATTTTCGTACCGGAAACGGAAAGAAAACAATAAAATTTATTATTATTATTATTCGTTTAAAAAAAATTTTTTAAGAAAACTTACCCGTAATAATAATAATTATTATTTCGTGTAATATACATTTTAAAAAAAAATTCGTTTTCGTTTTTTTTCAAATTCTTTTGTTTTCTTTTGTTTTCTATTTAAAATTCTATTTTGATAAAAGATAATGATAATAAAAAATAAAAATAAATAAAAAAATCGATAAATAATTTGTTGCAGACGAAACGAATAAAAAAAAAAAATACGTGCGTTAAAAGTTTTTTAATTGAAAATATTTCAATGCCGATGAATCACATTTCATTGATGGATACTCACATTTATCTTCTGCTCTTTTCTTTCGACATACAATAATAATGATAACGCAAACGACTAGGAACATTATTATGGCACCAACAATCACGGCAATAACGATGAGTAAATTATCATTATCGAACATCGGCCACCAGGCTGCTTTTCCTATATTTAAAAAAAAAAAAAACAAAAAACAAAAATTTATCAATTCGAATAAATCGAAATCATATACGTCATCAACTTTATTTTGATGACGTATGTAATTAGGTTTTTTTTATAAAGAAAATATGGCTCCCACCCGCCAAAAACAAAAATTCCCGCGAAATTTTAATTTAATAAAATTTATTCAAAAAAAAAAAAAAAATGGCGCCGTAAATTTATTTTTTAAATGATTTTACGATACGTTCATCATAAATTAAAGATTTTTATCAATACGCTAATAATAATAATAATAATATTCCGTGATATTTATTATCGTAAATAATTTAATTTTAATTTTTTTTTTTTTTTAAAAAACCCGACCACCGCCATTTTTTATTACCATTATAAAAAAAAAAAATTTTTTTTTCAACAACGAAAAAGAATCGTTTTAAAATATACGTGCAAGTAAAAAAATTTTTAAACGTTTATTTATTTACCTTTTGTAATAATAATACTAATAATAATAATAATAATAATAATTGTGTAAGATGTTTTTTTTTTGTGAGGGGAGGGAAAAAATGGCAAAGTATTTATTTAAAACTTAGAACCATGCAAACAATAAATTAACGATATTTATATATATACATATGTCAATCGAATTACCCTCTCCGACCTCCCTCCCCCCTCTTCTACCCTCCTACTACTCCTTCACCCCTTCCCCGATACCACTTACGTAATAAATTACTAAAAAAAAAAATTACTACTCGAAGACATGCCTTTAGCCAAAAAAAAATTTAAATCTATAATTCATTGACTCACTCACTACTACTCGCGATTTTCTACAATAAATAAATTATTAATTAATAATTTATTTATTTTAAATAATAAATACCTAATTAATAATAAATAGAGAAATAAAATCGATCACTTCGATTAATTTATTATTTCGATAACTCGATTTGTTTGTTCAAAAAAAAAATTTTTTCTCTGCATCAAAGGAGTCATCAAATGCATTTATGTGATAAAATAATAATAAAAATCATGCACGATATGTAAAACATATGATTTGTGTTTGTGTTTGCGTTTGTTTGTTTGTTTGTGATAAACAAAAAAATAATAATAATCGAACTCAATATACATTAACAGAAGAAGAAAAAAAAAAAAAGAAAAGTTACCTGTTGCCAAAAATTTGCTACTTTTTTCCTGAAAGGCTAAAAGCACATCTAATATTATTTATTTTAAAAATATTTTAAATAACGTTTTAATAATAATAATAATAATAATGATAATAATGATAATGATAATATATGACAAATATTGAGAAAAAATAATTATTAAAACGTTTTGTTTTTTTTTCGAAGTCCTGAGTATTATATCATCGTCGACAAAAGAAAATTGAAAAAAAAAGTAATAATAATAAAACGTTTATACCTGTGACGTCACGTTCGCATGGTATCGACATTCCGACGCTGTTGTTGGCATAACAAAGATAAGTCCTGAAATTTTCTATTCTGGATTCGAGAGTTAAAAAACTTTGCAATCCTTTGTCTTCTATCGGATCTTCGACGGTTTCGTTTTCGTTTTTTATTTTCCACATGAAATTAACAGTCGTCGGATTTGCGTGAGCCGTACAAACGAGAACCGATTTTCCATTTTGTTCTGTTTGTGTTATCGCACATTCAGGTTTAACTAAAGAAAAAAAAAAATTTTTTTTTGTCATTTCGTCATCGATCCGACGTCATAAATCCAATAAAAAAAATGGGAAGAAAATTTAATTTTTAGATAAAAAAAAAAAATTACATAAAACGTTGACGAAAGTATTTCCGGTTATGTTTCCGTGACGATTGTAAGCTTCGCAAACGTAATTTCCACCATCTTTTCTCGGGACTAAATATCTTAACATCAACATGTTTCCTTTGGCTATCGTTTCCGTTTCACCTTCTTTTCTCCACAAATAAGATGCTTCCGGATAAGCTTTTGCCTGACACGTTACTTTTCCTTCCATTTCTTGTCCCTCCACTACCGATATTACTTTACTCGATAGGGTTATGTTTTCCGGTGGATCTGGAAAGAAAAGAAGAAAATTTTTTTAAAATTAAATTTTATAAAAAAAAAACTTTATAATAACGATTTTTACATTCGACTCCGAAAAAAGTCGTGCTTCTAACTCCTCCACCGACAGTGTTACCAGTACTTTGACACGTGTAATTAGCATTATCGTACAATCTATCCAGTTGACCACCCGGCCATGCGTTCATATTCCATAAAAGTGTCGATTGAATCGAATTAAAATCGTTTGTGCTCGGATCAGATGGAACCATTGTATTTTTTACCTTTGGAAAAAAAAAACAAAAGAATTTCGACGTGGAACCAATTAAAAAATACAATCTAAAATCACGATTGAATAAGTTTTACTGAGTAAAGTGTGGATGATCCGGCTGTTTTTTCAATGGGTCTTCCATTTTTCAACCATGCCACTGTACACAAGGGCGAACATTCAACTCTGCACGATATATTTATGTGCTGTGCGCTCATGAGTGCTCCATAATATGGTGGCAAACGTTCAATAAAAGCCGGAGGAGCTAAAAAAAAAACAAAAAAACAAAAAAAATTAATGATGACAAAAAAGAAAGTGGAAAGAGTTCGACAAAAATACTCACCCAGTACTTCGATAGAAACGGAAGAACTTTGTCCTTCTCCACCTAAATTATAAGCCGAACATGTGAAATTAGCTTCAGTCTCCAGAGTAACTGGATCAATGGTCCAATTAAAAGAAGTCACGTCTTGGATAAGGTGACTACCTCTCACCCAACGATATGTGTCCGTCGGAGGTCGTCCCAAATCCTCCACTAGGCACTTTAAATTAACAGATTTTGCTTTTATAACTCTTTGAGGTTCGTAAACCAAAGTCGCCGGTCCAGGAGGATCTTTAAAAAAAAAAAAAATCCACATTTAGTATTGATTTGAGTGGCATCTTTCGTTAAAAAAATGTAAACTAACAATAAACAATAAGTTCTCCATCATCCGAAAGAGGTCCCCAACCGGCACTGTTCATTCCTTCGCACGAATAATTTCCATGTAAATCCCGAGTGACCTGTTCCAAAAGTAAATGACTTGGGTCGATGTCGCATAATGTGTCATTGTTCGAATTACATTCTGGCAATTCCTAAGCAACCATAACAAAAGTATTTAAAAATCGAATAACGATCATCGATTACCATAACGCTCCCATAATTATTTACCCTTAACAAAGTTCCATTAAGGTACCATCTAACAGCTTGAAGTACGTCCGGATTACCAGAAGAAACTTCGCAAACTAACAAAACGTTAATTTTATCTAATTCATTGATGGGCGAAGGCGGATCAATGACGACTTTCACGGACGGTTTATCTGTAAAACAAACAAACAAAAAAAAAGGTTGCATTTATATATATAAAACCGATAAGAGAAAATTACCTCGTTATCAGTGGTAATAAAAAAAAAAAAAGTTTCAGGTACGAATAATTAATTTTACGGTTGAAACTATTATTATTATTATTATTATCTTTAGTAAATTAAAAAAAAAAAATTTACATTTTTATTGTTTTTAATATAACAACAACAAAAATGGGGAGAAAAAACAAAAACAACAGCGAGACGAGAAAGAGAAAAGGACAGAAAATATATATATATAACAGGAAAATTTATTTTAAAAAAGTGATAAAATTCAATTTCGTTCCGCCATTTTGTTTTTCTTTTTTCCAGACGAAACAAAAAATAATAATAATAATTAAACGTGATAATATAAATATTTAATATAGAAAATAAAAATTTCACCGCGTAAAAAAAAAAAAAAAAACGAGTTTTTCGTTTTTTAAACGCGAGCGTGTGGGTGTGTGCGTGGGTGGGTGAGTGTTTTCTTCAACCATCAATCAAACAGACAAATATTAAGTTTAAAACGTTTTCTTATTACATTCGATAACGAATTCTTTGCCGACATAAATATTTCTTTCGAAAATATTTAACCCCGAAACACTTGACCTCAGTTTTCTAATAAAAAAGAAGAAGAAGAAGAAATCTAACAAAATTTTAATGGTTTCCATTTTTATCCCGAAAAAAAAATATATATATCCAGAAAATAAATGTGTATGGAAAACAATTTTTATTATTAAAAAATCCTTTTTTTTTCCAGAATTTTTACCATCACCTCCCTCTCTCCCCCGAAGCTCCAGTCCCCGTCCCTGCCCCTAGCCCGCCGCCTTCCCTAAGGAATTTTTCCTTTTCTTCGGAGCAAAAAAAAAGAAAATGGCGCCTTTTAAAAAAAAAATTTTCATAATGTTTAATTAAATTATTATTATTATTATTATTTCTTTTTATTTTTTTCCATGAGATTTTAAAAAGTTTTTTTTTTTTTTTTTGAAAAATTGAAATCGGGTCACGCCCCCGCCCCTGTCTTCCCCGCCTTTGTCCCCCGTTCCCTCCCCGTTCGAAGTTCGACATAATTCAAAAGCCACCTTTTCAAAAAACAATAAAAAGAAATTGCTACCTTTTTTTCTTTCTTTCTTTCATCCATCCATATTATTCTTCGTTCGTTTTTCTTTCGTTCTTTTCTTTAAAAAAAAGTGAGGAGGAGGAGGAGGAGAAAAAAAAAAGAAAGAAAGAAAAAAAGAAAAAAACCAAAAGTAAAAAAAATTTTATTGAAAAGTTTAGCGAAACCATATTTCAATTTTATTTTCTGGATTTTGACGGTTGAAAAAGGAAAAAAAAAAGAAAGAGAAAAAGGAAAGAAAAAAAAGGAAAGAAAAAAAGGAATGAAAAAAAAAAAAAGTTGAATGGGAAGTTGGAAACAAATATTGTTCTGGAAAAAGTATCTTAAAGTGGAACAATTCCAACCTCAACAAAACTTTCAAATCATTATTAATTATTTTCTTATTTCCCCCTCCCTCTCCCTCCCTTTTCCCTCTCTCCCGCTTCCCACCACCCCTTCGACTCCCACTGCGTAATCCCTCACGTGACTGAAAAAAAATTACTTACGTAATATATTAACGTAAATTGAATTCGTCGATTCGGATGATCCGACGTCATTTTCGCAAACGCACGTATAAACTCCTTGATCGTCTCTCATCGAATCTCTAATTGTCAGATTTGGTTGTTCGATTGTTCCATTTTCATATCTTTCCGTATCCGTATCAATTTCCACACCATCTCTAAGCCTTTAATAATAATAATAATAAACAATTAAAACGATGACGATAATAATAACAATAATAATAACAATTAAATTAATTTTTATTCGAGTTTCACTAATAGAAAAACTTTTTGAGCGCGAGTGTGTGCGTGTGCATCGAGGGGTGTGGGGAGTTGGAGGATGTGTTAAAAAATAAAAAAAAAATTTTTTTAGTATCTTTAACTTTATCCCCTCGTCGTAAAAAAATAAAAAAAAATAATAATAAAAAAACACGAAAGGTTCGAATTCTTTTTTTTCCAACACGCAAAAGTGATTTTTTTTTTTTAATATTAAAAATTTGTCATCAAATTTATTTTTTTTTTTTTTTTTATAACGCGTGCGTAATAATCTATTTATATCGAAACGCGTGAGTTAATACTGATAATAATAATAATAATACATATCGAAATATTATTATTATTACGTTAAAACTTTTTACCGCCACGTCGTTTTACATACGACACACCACCGAAAGTTTCCTTCCATTAAATTCGAAAAAAAATTTTCACGCGTGTAAATTTTCAGTTTCAAAAAACAAAATTATACTATTATATTATTATTATTATTATTTTGTAATATAAAACTCTAATAAAAAAAAAATAAATTTAAATTATACGTTTTGTTGATTAATTTTAAAAACGAAAAAAAAAAAACCTCGATAATAAATATACCCTTTTATATTATTATTATTATTATTATATTTAGGAGGTTGTGTTCTTTTTTTAATGTAACATATATTATAATAGTATAACCTTTTCCAATTATAAATTTTTATTTATTAGATTATAATTAACGTAAAAAAAGGAAAAACAATAACAGGAAGGTACCGAACAAAAATTCTTCGACGGTAAAAAATTTATTCGAATAAAAAAAAAAGAAAAAAAAATTTTTTTTTAATTAAGATTAATAAACTTTAATGAAAAATAAAAGAGAGAAAGAGAGAGGAAGAGGAAGAGAAAGAGGAAGGCAGGAAGAGAAGAATGAAGAGAGAGAGAGAGGAAGGAAAAAGAGTAAAAAACGTGGACAAGCGTAAGCGTAATAAATAATAAAAAAAAAAAAAAAATTCAAGAGAGGTGAGCGAGAGGAAGAGAGGGGGGAAATGGGGGAGGAAGGAGGAGGAGGGCATCATATTCTTCTCAGATAAATAATAGACAACCGAGGAAGTTTGTATTTGTGCTCCTGGAGAAAATTTAATATTCAAAGGTGTTGTGCATTGTTTTAAAAGTAAAATTAATTGTATTTCAACGGAACCCAAATGTTGCTGGAGAACGCATTAATGCTTTACGGTTTACCACGTTAAAAATCATTTCTTCCTATAAAGATTACACCCGAAAATTATGTTTTTGAATTATTTCCCAAATGCGTACACGCACGCACGCATTCAATTTCTTTTTTTTTTATAACCGCACGTGTGTGCGAGCGTCCGACATTTTGTTTATAAAATACTCGAAACTAAAAATTTTTATCTAATCGATTACAATTTTCTTAATTTTTTTTTTCTTATCATCTTACAGATTATCAGTTACACGTTCCAGAAGGTTATTTAAAAATTCCAAAATTTTTTTTCATTTTCTCCAGTCATTATTCTTTTCCATGAACACTTTTGTGTTTAAAATAGCGAAAAAATTAAAATTCAGAAACTTACAATAATATTATTTATTATTTATTAAACCGTAAAAAAAAATCTCTTTTCTTATTATTAAAAATAATAATAATAACGGTATAAATAATTAATAATTGTTAATAAAAATAATAATAATAATAATTGTTATTCACTGAGAAAATATTATTAAGTTAAAAGAGTTTTAAATTAAATGAATTATTAAAAAAAGAGTTCTACCGGAAGTTGTCTCATTTAAAATAAAAAATCAAGAAGAAAAGTCGGTCGCGGAAAATTTAAAACAAAAAAAAAAATAATAAAAGAAAAATAAAAAAAAAAAAGAAAAGAAAAAAGAAAAGGACGGAAAGAAAAGTAAATAATAATAAAAATAATAAAAGTCGTAAAAAATTTACGAAAAAAAAAAAAACGTTAAACGAATTTTTAATTGAAGGTGGTACACTAATAATAATAATAATAATAATAATAATAGGTAATTAATGTCTCGAACGAATTAAAATTAATATTATTATTATTATTATCATTATTATTATTCATTTATATATTAATAATGACGTGAAAAAAAAAGAAAATTTTTTTCACGAACTCGTTATATCGAAACTCGAGCTTAATAAATTTTTATTGGGCATGAGAGGGGGAGGGGACAGGGGGTACGGGGCAGGAGGAGGGGCATGAAGAATGAAGGCAAGAGGTAGGAGGAGGAGGGGAAAGAGAGGGGGGTGGTTTAACGGTAGGAAACGGTGGGTTTTTTTTTTGTTGTGATTTCCATAATTGTTTTGTAATTTAAATTATCCTTCGGGTCGAACGAACGAGACAAAGAAAAAAGTAAAAACCGTTCGCGAACGCGATAAATAATATTATTTATTTAAATAAAAAAAAAACAAACAGTTATAAATTTTCTTTTGTTTAACAAAAAAGAAAAAAAAAATTATAAATAATTTGTGTCCGTACGACTTGAATGAAGGTATAATGACGTCATGAAAGAAAACAATAAAAATAAATAAATAATAAGAGTCGTCGTTGTTCGTCGTCGTCGTCGTTAGCATTAAAAGGAAAGAAAGTAATAATAAAGATAAGAAGAATGAAAATTTTCCTTTTTGAGAGAGACAAGGGGATAGGGGAGAGGGGAGGGGATGAAATGAAAAAAAGGAAAATTTTCAAACTAACAAAAGTAAGTTTTATTATTATTTTTATTATTATTAATATTATGGCATTAATATTGAAAAGTTTTGATTTCTTATCGAATATTTCGAGTTTCGATACCTTTTTTACCTGTTTCCTTTTACCTTTTCCTTTTTCCCGCCTTTTTTTTTAAAATAAATTTTATATCTTTATCGAAAATAAATCGACAAAATAAATAAATTAATTAAAAAAAAAATTAATTAAGAAAATATTTTTATTTTTTTTTTAAATGTCGCATTTTTAAACCTTTTTCTTTTTTTGCGACAATTTCCCTCGATTTAAGAAAGAGAGAGAGAGAGAGAAAGAGATAGAAAAAAAGGGAAATATGTCGCAAAAGCATTTTTTCCTTTTCTTGTAATTTTTTTTTCCTTTTTTTTTTTTTGTTCTTTTCTACAGTTTATTCTACCACGCAACATCATTTCACTTTAATCAATCTCATCCAGTGGAAATTCTTTAACAAAAAAAAAAGACTGGAAAAAAATTTCCAGTCATTTTTTTTCCAGTCTTTATCTTATTCGGTAATTTTTTTTTTCTTTTTTTTTTTTTATCCTTTTTCCGTAATGAAAATCTGTCGCTATCGAATTTCTTATTGCAAAGATTAGCCAAAGCTCTTTTCTAAATTTAAAAAAAAAAAAATTGTCTGGAACTGGCAGTAAACCTTTTTCAGGATTTTTGGATGAAAACTTTTTTTTTAAAACTTAAAATTGCGATTAAAGTTTTTGGCAAAAAAAAAAAATTCGGTTTTTTTTATTTATTTATTTTTATAAAGGAGGCCTAAAAAACAAAAAAAAAACTACGAATTGTTTCTTTTTTATATAAACTTTACTCCTCCTCTCTTTCTTCATATTAAAATAATAATAATAATAATAATAATAATAATAATAATATGGCGGACGAAATACTTTACAAAAAAAAAAAAAAAACTTGAATACATACAAGAACGACGACGACGACTCAGGGTTTTGCAATTTAAAACTCGAATTTCAAAAAAAAATTTTTTTTTTTGCCTTATTTTCCTTCTACTTCTCCAGCTTCGTTTTTCTTTCTCTCTCTCTCTTTTTTTTTTTACCTCCAGGCAAAAATATATTTTTTTCTTTTTTTTATCGTTTTCCTGGAGTCCACAAAAAAAAAATCGATTTCTACGTTATGCGTCGTTTGCCGACCATTATTATTATTATTATTATTATTATTATTATTATCATTATTGTCGTCGTCGATTCGATTGGTCGAACGAGAAATTATTAAAAACGTTACCGTCACCACTACCGATTAAACTAATTAAATTCGTTATTTAAAAAAAGAAAACGAAAGCAATTAACGGAATCATATAAATTTATTTTTATTTTTTTCTTTTTTCTGATTGGTCAATCGTTCGGTCTCTTTCTCTTTAAAAAAATTATTTTTGATTTGTTTTCATTTTTTTTGTAACGTGGATTTCACGTGCGGGAAAATTTTTTTTTTTTTTTATTTCTTTACGAAATAACGATCGATCGCGATCGATAATTAATAAATTTAAATTATTAAATATTCTTTATTTACCTTTTAATTTTTTACTTTTAATAACTTATTAACGTTTTGATTAATAATAATAATAATAATAATAATAATAATAATAATAATAATAATAATAATAATAAACTTCATTATTAAATAAAATTTGAAAAATTATTAATAATAACGATATTAAATTAAATTTAAGTAAAAATCAAAAACAAACGTTTCGTTTGTGTATATTGAAAAATTTGATTTTTATCAAAATGATAATGATGATGATGGTAATAATAATAATAAAACGGGTAAAATAATTTTTACGACGATAAATAAAATAATTAAAAAGTAAGAAAAAT